TTGGAAGGCATTGTCAGGTTTTCAGTTGATGTCAATGGAGAGTGAACATACTTCTACAACTGTTGGACGAGCATGGGTTCGGGAGGGTTTACTGATTTCGTGGTAGTTGTAACCAGTGCAGCGCCGTTGGAAGATGTCGGCATGGAATTCCACATGTGGGTTATCTCCTATGGGTAGGTTAGCGGTTGCGTGATGTTGACGAAGCTTCTTGGAAGAATACTACTTGCTACCCGGTAGGAGGTCGAATATGTGGTTGTGAATGATGATTCAGAATGTTCATGAAAATCTTAAAAAAAGACTTCGAGAAATTTAGCGGGTTAACGGTACAGGATCATGGTAATTGAGAAGGAGGAATCGTTGTGGGCTCTACATTATGTGATGGTAGCTTAAAGCTAAGTGGGGTAGCCCCACCGTCTATGATTGGATCGCCTGGCTATCTGCTTGTGCGGTTTCTGGTTATCGATCCGTTGGTGGATTATTTATGACTAAGAAAAGAAAGTGTCAGGCGTGATTCGAGCAAGGAACTTGTTGAATGTGTGCTATATTTTTCCTTATCGGTTCATGTGCTAGTAGAGTATTGGAGTTTCGTTATATTCGGGACCAGGTCAGAGTGGATGACTCTCGACAGCAGTCCTAGTGGGTTCAAGAATCAAAGTATAGTACCTAAGGATCTTAGGTCCGTAGTGTGGTTAAGGATAGAGTTTTCACAGTGGATTACGAATGAGACTTGGAATGTTCTATGTTACCATCGGGTATGCAGTGTAGTATTGGAGGAAAGGAAGAAATAGCTTCGGATGCACGTAAGGAGGTATGAAATGATTCATGGGTATTGAGACGATGCGGTCTTGCGATTTGGGTCACTCGGGATGAGCGCAGATTGAGTTCATTATGTTATGAATGGAGCTATTATATTTCTAAGTCAGGTCAAGAGTAAATTGAAAGAAGTTGGGTCGATTAGTAATGGTTGACTCGACATGATCGTGGCAATGATCAGTTCCTTCGGCATGTGAAGTCATACATGTGGTTGTGGTTGTACGTGCGGGCTTGACAGCCACCATAACTTGATTGATTTGGGAGGTATTTGATTCAAATAGATTTGTTTTGTAAATGGATTCCGGAAGAGTTATCACGGTCTAGATGACGGCTTGAGGTTGTATTTTCTGTGGTTTAGGAATTCAGTTGAATGTTGCATGGGCTCTTCGGAAATGAGCTAAGTGAAAGGTTTCTAGCTAATGAAGTGTTATTCTATTGGTAGTTCAAGAGTTATGATGAATTCGTGTATTCTCATGCAGTGGCATGATAGATGCAGTGAGCGGCATGGGAATTTGAAAGTTGATGACCAAGGTTGCAGTTCGATGTTGACAAGAATGTCACGATCTCGGATGAGCCGGGAAGAATTTGATGTTCAGAGTAAGCTGACATTATCCTAGTGTTGCCTGGCAATGGTGTTATGTGGAAGGAGCATTGTGTATTGATTTACGGATTCTTGATCTACTTTACAGAATTAGTACAATTGGTGGTATGGATGTGCGGACTTGACTACCTGGGCGGAAGGTCGTGGGAGCGTATGCCACGGGGAAATTATATGAGTGTGACATGCTAGTCACTTGATTGTTAAGGATCGAAACCAAGCACGGAGATTTTTGGTACTATCGTTAATGTGAGAGTTTATGCCTGGAAGGCGCTCTATTCCTTTGGTTGTGAACTGTGGGGGTTGTGCCGGATTGAGACGGCTTGATTATTCGTACATGTGTTGAGGTACCGTGTAGCTTGTGGTGTCATATGAGTAGGATGGCTCTCGTGATGCAGGTCATTTATCGCACCTTAGTCGTGCTTGGGTTTTGTGGCGTATTGCACTATCCGTCTCCCCAGAGTTGTGTTTTTGCACTTGGCGTGCTTGTAGCCAATATTCGGTATGTCCTTATTTATTGTTATGAGTGGATCGGGTGGCACGCCGCCACAGGTATGCTATTTGGATCGGGTTGCACGCTGCAACGGTATCATGTTTGGATCGTGTTTCACGCCTCAACATCATTATGTTGAGTACGGTTCCCTATATCTATTCCTGCATATTTTGTTTCTCATCCTCTGAGGAGGGTTTATAACATCTGTTCAACCGTTTTATTCGTTATGCGGGCTGGGTAATTCTTTTTCGGAGTTCATTTCGCCTTATGTGTCATATTCGAGTTGTAGCTTGTCGGCGCATTGATGGCATCATATGAGATCTAAGTCAGTGTTTGAATTGGCTTATTGCCTGAACAGCTTGTACTGGGTGAGACTGTAACACACCGGAAAATTTTGAACTACTTTAGCACTATTAAGAAAGTTGATGTGCGCTAATTATATTATTTTGTGTGCAGATGAGGACTATTAATATGATAGATATCAATTGGATATGATAATAAGTGTACTAGGCATATTATAAGTGATGTGGGGTCTAAGGAGAGCCCTAAGTCCAAGTCAAGCTGGAAATTTCATGATAGACTAAAGTTTCAAATGGGTACGCACAATACCAAACTTTGGACGAGCATATCTACATACATATAAGGATTTATGTGATTATCTACCTATCAAATGAAAGTGCTTCGAGTCTAGTTGCTAACGCTTCAAACCGTACTTCATTTGGACACTCCTACAAGAAGGTATGACCAAATTACCAAAGGCTAGAAGAATGTGATTCTGCAGTCAGATGTGCGACCGCAGAATCATTATGCGATCGCAAAACGTATTATGCAGCCGCAAAATGGTCGCAAACCTGACTAGTGCTGCCCACTTCTGGGCATCGAATTTGCGATCCATTGTGCGACCGCATACCTGAGTTCGGAGGGTCCATTTTCCTATTTTCATAACCCGACTCCATTTTGATAAATAGCCTTTAGGGCTTATTTTGGGGCAATTATCTGATGATTTTAGAGAGTAGTGAGAGTGTTCTAGAGAGAGGAAGCAACTCAAGTGCTTTGTTCATCAAGATCTTGTCCAAGCTTTGAAATCCAACAAGGAAATTTCAAAAGTTCTTCGTCTAAGAGGTAAGGTTCCATGCCCTAGTTTTCAATTTCGAATTTGGATAGAAGATGATTGATTAGGAGTATGATTCTTGGGTATGAGAGTATTATTTATACATTCATGTACCAATAAGGTTTGTGGGAAGATTGTTGAGCTTAAATGAGTAAAGATTGGGTTGTAGAATGAAGGAAATCTTGTAGAAGAACCTTGTAACCAAATTTGCACACCTAGTATTTGATAAAATGCTCAAATGAGCTGAAACCATGAATACCTTCCTCATTTGTGTTCAATTTTGTTATGTCTCAAAATAGATTGGGATTGGTAGAATTTCTGGAAAGTTGTAGTAATTTAAGGAAAGCTCAAAGCGAGGTATGTTGGCTAAACTACTCTCTTAGAATTGAATTCCATGATGTTCCCGTAAGTTTCAAGTATGGTTGGCTCAAGTTCCTTATTCTCATGGTTCGAGTTGTTCCCTATAAATTTGATTGTTCCGAATAAGCGAAGTGTCAAGAATTATATATTCAAAACGTGTTCCGAATGTTCCTATCACATTATGTTATCCTTTGGGAATATGTTCAAGAGATATGTGTATTAAAATGTTATGTCTTTGAGACATGTTTCAAATGAAGGCTATGATGCCAAATTGTGTGAGAAAATCTCAATATGCTTAAGACTCTTAATTGCTCATATGTGTACCTAAAGTCTTGATTGGAAATGTATTATTGTTGATAATCTATAGAGATGATTGGAAGTGAAATAAGTGAATTGTGGGTATAAAGTGTGGCCAACGTGCCAAGAGTGAAAGTTATACTTGTGGCCAATGGTGCCAATGAAATAAGATGATGTGAGAAAGATTATGAAATGAGCTTTGATTCAACTATTTCGAATTGACTTCGAAAATAGATTTGCCTAAAAGCTTATGTACTCAAGTCATGCCCAAATGTGGCTATCCTAACTAATGTTGTGCTTTGTGAGTATTTTCAATGTGTTTTGCGTTCTTACATATTCGTGAGTAAAAATTGTGTATTGCTCATTTTTTTGGGAAAAAGTATTTCAAGAATAAATGGTGTGTAACTTGTTGATGATTTTAACTTGCACATAAATTGCCAATTATTTTACTCTATTTCTCGGAATGAAATGTATTGTGCTTAAATTGTTCATTCCTAATGAACATAAAGTTGTGATTTTCGGAATATTATATATATTGATATTTATGATGATGATACATGAGAGGGAAGAAATAAAAGTATGGAATATCAAATACGGCCACCGTGCCTTGAATAAAGAATCTTGTGAATGGCCAAAAGAGCCAAGAGAGTATTGCTGTTGTTATTGGTTGAAAATACTAGTGAAGATTCATACAATGTGAAAGATGATGAGGTAAATACATTTGAACCTATGTTACCTTTGTGTGCAAAAACAATAATAATATTTTTGGGAGTATCGATAGTCACCAAGGAAGGGTAGGTTGAAATAACCTAACCCCGAAACTACACGTGCCGGTGTAGGAGTGGATTGTGATTATTCCCCTTAATTGGGATGAGATTGATGTGATAAAATTATTCCCCTTAATTGGGATGAGATGATTGATAGAAATGGATGATGTTTCAGAAGAGATGGACTAGCCGATCAGGTCGTGATTGGACACCATGCCACACACATGGTGGTGATTGTGCTGGAAATTGTAATTGAAATTGTGATTGTGGTTGATGTCTTTAATGAGATGGCCTATCCGCTTTTGTCGTGATCGGACTCCGTGATAAAACTACGGTGGTATTGGTATTGAGAGTGATTTTGGTTGATGTCTCCCAACCAAAAATAATAATATTATCATATTTTGTATCAAGTTACTAAGTCATACCATGAAAGTTTGGGAGAGGGTGGTGGAAGGGAGGATAAGAAGGGCGGTGTCTATATTGGAAAACCAGTTCGGGTTCATGCCGGGTCATTCTACTACGGAAGCTATCTACCTTATCAGGAGGTTGGTGGAACAATACATGGATAGGAAAAGGGATTTGTATGTGGTGTTTATTGACCTAGAGAAGGCGTATAACAAGGTCCCCAGTGACGTCCTTTGGAGGTGTCTGGAGGTGAAAGGTGTGCCGGTGGCTTACATTAGGGCAATAAATGATATGTATGATGGAGCTATGACTCAGGTTAGGACTGTGGGAGGTGACTCAGAGCGTTTTCCAATGGTTATGGGGTTACACCAAGGATCTACGCTTAGCCCGTTCTTATTTTCCCTGCCGATGGACGCACTGACACACCATATCCAAGGAGAGGTTCCATGGTGTAGGTTGATCGCTGATGATATAGTTTTGATTGATGAGACGTGAGGCGATATTAATGGAAGACTGGAGGTATGGAGGTTGGACTTAGAGTCTAAAGGTTTCAAGTTGAGTAGGAGTAAGACGGAATATGTGGAATGTAAGTTCAGCGACATGACGGGGAAAACAGATGTGGAAGTCTAGCTTGACTCACAGGTCATCCTCAAGAGAGAAAGGTTTAAGTACTTAGGGTCAATTATCCAGAGAGATGGGGAGATCGAAGGGCATGTTACGCACCGTATTGGGGTGGGGTGGATGAAATGGAGGTTAGCGTTTGGGGTCCTGTGTGACAAGAATGTGCCACCAAAACTCAAAGGTAAGTTTTATAGAGCGGTGGTTAGACCGACCATGTTGTATGGGGCTGAGTGTTGGCCAGTCAAGAATTCACATATCCAGAAGATGAAAGTAGCAGAAATGAGGATGTTGAGATGGATGTGTGGGCATACTAGGCTGGATAAGATTAGGAATGAAGATATTCAGGAGAGGGTGGGCGTGGCTCCAGTGGACGACAAGATGCGGGAAGCACAACTTAGATGGTTCGGACACGTGCATAGGAGAAGCCTAGATGCCCCGGTTAGGAGGTGTGAGCGGTTGGCTTTGACAGGTATGAGAAGAGGTAGAGGGCAGCCCAAGAAGTATTGGGGCGAGGTGATTAGACAGGACATGGCGCGGCTCCAGATTTTCGAGGGAATGGCTCTTGATAGAAAGGTATGGAGATCGAGCATTAGGGTTATAGGTTAAAGGGTAGTCGAGCAGTTTTCCTCTTTTTCCCGGTTTCCCTCTTTGTACCGACGAGTATGATAGTGTCTTGTCTAGCACTGCTAGAGATTTATGTTGTGTTTCACACTTTTGCATAATATTTGTGTTACTACTTTTCCATTTATTTGCTGTCTCTCACGTTGCTGATTATTTTTTGGGTTTTGTTGTCACAGATCTATTGTCTCTGAGGTGATGGTCTCCCGGAAACAGCCTCTCTACCCCCTCTGGGGTAGGGGTAAGGTCTGCGTATACTCTACCCTCCCCAGACCCCACTGATGGAATTTTACTGGGTTGTTGTTGTTGTTATAATATTTTGATTATGACTTCACAGTGTTATCTTCATATTTTGGGAATTATTATGTTCTAACTTGGCATTTAAATATCATTGATTATTGATTGTTGTTTCCATGGTTTTCCCTTTCTTACATTGGCATTCTATTTTGAAAGAGGGCAATTTGCTTTACATACTAGTTCTATTCCATATGTACTAATGTCCCTTTTTCCAGGGGGCGATGCATCTTTAATGGATGCGGGTGATTTATCAACGGGCAGCTTTGGTCCTCGTTAGCAGTCACTCTCTATTCAACAAGTTTTGGTGAGCCCTACTCTATTCCGGGCCGGATGTCATTTGAGTCATACATTGTGTTTTGAGGTATAGCCGGGGCCTTATTGCCGGCACTTCCATACTAATCTTGTGTTGTATTTAGAGGCTCCGTAGACAGTTGTTGGTGGTGATTTATGTGGGGAATTGAACTAGAAATGTTGGTATTTGGGAAACATGTTTTTCATTATATCTATAAACTTGTAATATTTTGGAAATTATGAATGAATTTGCTAATGGATATGAAATGGGAGTTGTTAATAAAATATTTTCAATGTTTGATTAATGGAGTACATATCCTCTTTATTCATGGATGAGTTTGGGTAGAAGGAAATCTAACAGGCTTGCTCGGCCGGGTTCACTCGGTTGAGCGCCGGTCGCGCTCTTCGATTTCAGGGTGTGACAAACTTGGTATCAGAGTCTAAGGTTTTAAAGTGTCCTAGGATGTCTCGGAGGCGTGTCTAGTAGAGTCCTTCTATCGGTGTGTTGTCGACCACATCTATAATGAGGAGGCTACTTGGACATTTAGGCATTTCACACTTCTTTGATACTCCAGATCTTGCGATAAAGCTCAAGATAGGAAGCTAAATTCCTCGTCATGTCTCATTTTCCATATGAGTAACCCATGGGTTTGAGGCATCGAGGAGGGAATGAAAGAACCACTTGCTAGGGGAAGTGTCCCTATTTCTATTAATGTCACCACGCCACCAGTTTATGTTGTGAGAGCACCTAAGAAATGAAAGAGGATGATTGGCATCAATAAGCCGAAATGTTTGATATGAAAGAAGAGCCACTCGGGTTTAGCCACTCGAGTTTATGTTGGATGATTCTTGAAATATGTTATGGTTGTGGAAAGAGGGGGTACAAGAAGAACAAATGCCCTTAGGTTGGATACACCTATCTCGGTCTACCCGATATGCAGGCAAAAATATTTTGCGTCATGTTGTGAGTATGCTCAGAAGCGTGTTAGCGGTGGTAGATTTGGGCAATTTTAAAAGTCTATACAACGAGCTGTTGCAGAGATTGTTACTCTCGCTATGAAGTCTTGGAGGAAGACTAAGGGGAATGCTTATGATGTATGCAAAAGGGTAAATATCAGGTAAGTGGGGCGAGTCAGTTTAGCGGACCCCATCCTCGTTGTGTGAAGTGTATGAGATGTCATTCGGGGGTATGTCACTATGGTACTAATGTATGTTTTGGATGCGGAGTAGAGGGGCATCAATTAAGGTATTGCCCTGTCAATCTAAAGTCATCAAGTAAGTCACTCCTTAGTACATCATTGAACACCGCATTATTTTCCTTGTTGTATATGTACATCCATGTTGAAAGGGCCAATATAAATATGGTCTTAACCAAAATGTTGAATCATAAAACATTGCATGTACTTACTTTCTAGACGAGACACATTATTCGTGAAGCCACTCTATCAAAAATTCTCTTATTTACAACCTCTTGAGGAATTGAGTTTTATAATGATTTCCTTGGAATGATTTATAACTCTAGGATTAATACTTTCCACTTGCTTTCTTGAATTCTCAACAAGGGACTATACCTGATGAATTTCTTACAGAACCTTTTGATTTAAATAGATAACATCTGCTCACTTGTGCTTATGCATGCACAGTCATAAAGTTTACCTATGTGGTATCAAATCCAATGTAAGGCAGCCTAGTGCCGAGATCTTTCTTGAGCTAGTCTCTTTCTCTTGTGCACATGGCTTATATGGTTTAAAGAGTCACTTTACTCCTTTGTGAATATTATCATGAATCCTTTTCACTGTTTAGTAACATAAGAGCATATCTCAGCACCTATCATATGTGTAACTGTCATTTGAAATAGGTCACTTGTCCGCATAAAAGTTGCTGGAAAATTTGAGATTTTCACAAATTCGTCGTATCTATAGTCCTCTCATATAGGATCAACTATTGGCAAAGGTTAAGTTGTGAGAATGATAATAATCTCACAAGTGTTCAACTTATTTTTCATCCCCATGGGCTTGTGACATAGATTCCTTGTGTCAGTTAATGTTAAGACCGTAATGCAATTTCATGCATTTTGAAACCCATATCACATTCGGGGTGCCAAAATATTCTCATTTCGATTTGAACTGATTTTTCCTACACTCCAGGAGACGACTGGTGTCATGTACTTGGCCATTTCTCTTTAAGGCTTACTATTGCCGAACAAAACACATATGGAATGAAACAATTATTGTTGTCCTTTTCATGACTCATAGACTTCCAAGAATTGCTGACACTAATGTATTTATCCTTCCGATTATGCCTCCCATATGTCACATGTCAAAGAAGAAGCGTCATCCCGTGATCAAATATATTGGATAGGAAATATTATAGTGATATTCAAGCTAGCACATCTTAGACTAATTGTTGGAGGTCGCCAAAGGTTTAGTTTGGGTGTTCGGCGTAGAGATTTAAAGTTGATGAAAGTGAACAGGTTGTTCTCAATATTTTCTCCATGAGGATGCTATATGAATTGTTAATAAAGGTAAAGTATGTGTAGTCACATTAGACCTTATGAAATCTTGAAGGAAATAGGCCAAACTATGAGTATGATGTTTCCCTATTATTGTTCTCCGTATACCCGGTGTTTCATGTGTCTATGTCTAAGAAGGTGAAGATAATGGATAATTGGATTATGAGGAGCAACTATTTTCTATCCTTGTTAGAAAAGTCCGGGAGTTGAGATTGCCTCCGTTAAGGTGTTATGGCAAAGTCTGTAAGTCGAGGAGGCCACCTTGAGGGCCAAAAGTGTTAAGGAAATAAAATGTTCTCACTTGAGTGTATAGTCAAATGATTGTGATTTGAAAGGTATTTTCTATGTGTTATGATTTAAATATGTGCATCTCATGTCCAGATATCACTCTTGATAATATAATGCCTGTAATGATGAGATTAGTGATGTTGATATACATGGTGATGCTTTGTCAAGTTGTGGATGTGTTGATAGGTTGATTTTGGTGATTATCTTATATATGGATAGGCCCAGTTACAGGGGAAACTCTATCGAAATTTTTAAGAATTTGTGAAGATAGCCAAATTTTAAGGGCCATAAGTAAGTTTAGATTTTGGAAAGGAGGTATAAGACCCATGTAGTCATAAGCACCTATGTATAATGGCTGGAGGTAAAAGGATGGTAACTCTATTATTAGAAGTGACATATGAAACATTCGAGGACGAATGTTCTTAAGTGGGGGAGAATGTAACACCCCGAAAAATTTCGAAGTACTTAAGCGCTATTAAGAAAGTTGATGTGTGCTAATTATATTATTTTGTGTGCAGAGGAGGACTATTAATATGATAGATATAAATTGGATATCATAATAAGTGTACGAGGCATATTATAAGTGATGTGGGGTCTAAGAAAGCCCTAAGTCCAAGTCAAGTTGGAAATTTCATGATAGACTAAAGTTTCAATTGGGTACGCACAAGACCAAATTTTGGACGAGCATATCTATACACATATAAGGATTTATGCAATGATATAACTATAAAATGAAATATCTTCGAGTCTAGTTGCAAACGCTTCAAACCCTTCATCATTTGGACAATCCTACAAGAAGTTATGACCAAATTACCAAAGGCTGGAAGAATGTGATTTTGCGGTCAGATGTGCGACCGCAAAATCATTA